CCCCTACAAATGTTGCGAATCACATATTTCTACAAATTTCACACTTGGCGCTATAACGCTTTAAAGGTCGTCCCATTTCGCGGGGGCGTTAGTGCTGTTCTAGAAAAATGAATGGGAGTCAATGGGGCCCATGTAAGTCAATGGGAAAACTTTGGGACGTCCTAGAGCCCCAGGGGTACAACTTATACCCCCTTGCGGGGTATGTTCTTACTTAGGCTGCAACCCTCTACAGATGCTGTGAATCCCATATTTCTATGAATTTCACACTTGGCGCTATAATGTGTCAAAGTTGGGCGTAATGTTGAGTTAATGCGTTTTGGGGGGTGGTTTTGGGGCCCCTGCGGGGCCCCAAAACCACCCACCCCTTATAAAAGTCATAGCACACCATTCCCGATAAAGCCGCACGATTTGAGCCCACTTTCAAGGGTCTTGGACGAAAGCTGCGGGACGAGTTACGCGCCGAAAAAGTGTACGGAAGAAGAAGAAGAAGACAGAATAATAAACCACAATAGTAAGAATGGACTTTGCCTAAGGCAAACCCCATTAATAAACCACAATAGTAAGAATGGACTTTGCCTATGGCAAACCCCATTAACTAGAATTGTACATTTCCTAAAGGAAATGTGAATGGGGTTTGCGTGGCAAATCGATGGGGTACAAAATGGTACTAAACTGGGCAAAATAGCAGTAAATGGTTAAATTCATGTGTTTATGTGGTTGCTAGGGTATTGTACATGGTTGCTAGGTGGCTGCTAGGGTGTCCTGAGTGGTTGCTAGGTGGTTGCTAAGGTGTTGCTAGGTGGTTGCTAGGGTGTTCTAAGTGGTTGCTAGGTGGTTGCTAAGGTGTTGCTAGGCGGTTGCTAGGGTGTTCTAAGTGGTTGCTAGGTGGTTGCTAAGCTGTTGCTAGGCGGTTGCTAAGGTGTCCTGAGTGGTTGCTAGGTGGTTGCTAAGGTGTTGCTAGGCGGTTGCTAGGGTGTCCTGAGTGGTTGCTAGGTGGTTGCTAAGGTGTTGCTAGGTGGTTGCTAGGGTGTTCTGAGTGGTTGCTAGGTGGTTGCTAGGCGGTTGCTAGGGTGTTCTGAGTGGTTGCTAGGTGGTTGCTAAGGTGTTGCTAGGTGGTTGCTAGGGTGTTCTGAGTGGTTGCTAGGTGGTTGCTAGGCGGTTGCTAGGGTGTTCTGAGTGGTTGCTAGGTGGTTGCTAAGGTGTTGCTAGGCGGTTGCTAAGGTGTCCTAAGTGGTTGCTAGGTGGTTGCTAAGGTGTTACTAGGCGGTTGCTAGGGTGTTCTGAGTGGTTGCTAGGTGGTTGCTAAGGTGTTGCTAGGCGGTTGCTAAGGTGTCCTAAGTGGTTGCTAAGGTGTTGCTAGGTGGTTGCTAGGGTATTCTAAGTGGTTGCTAAGGCGTTGCTAGGCGGTTGCTAGGGTGTCCTAAGTGGTTGCTAGGTGGTTGCTAAGGTGTTGCTAGGCGGTTGCTAGGGTGTCCTGAGTGGTTGCTAGGTTGTTGCTAAGGCGTTGCTAGGTGGTTGCTAGGGTATTCTAAGTGGTTGCTAAGGCGTTGCTAGGCGGTTGCTAGGGTGTCCTGAGTGGTCGCTAGGCCCTTACTAAGGCGCTAATAGGCGGTTGCTAGGTGGTTGCTAGGCGGTTGCTAGGGTAATTTGAGTGGTTTCTAGGCAGTTGCTAGGGTACCCTGGGTGGTTACTAGGCAAGCCTCATATACATGCCTGATGAAATAATTATACTTAGTAAGCATTTCTAGCAAGTTACAGTACTTGGCTAGTCAATATTAGCATGTAGCTAGTCACTGCTAGCATGTGTAGCATACAGGAAGTTCCGTTTGCTAGCATGAGTGAAACGAGCCAATCCCCAAGTCTCTACGATGTTCCGATGCTGAGATATAGCTGTTGATGAACGGTTGCTAGGGTACTCTGTTTTGTTGCTATGGGCGAGGTTACAGAGTGAACTTGAATGTGGTTGGCTGTCCAAGTCAAATGAGCCAACCCCCAAGTCAATAGGACACTGCTAAGCAAAGATATGCATGTAGGCCAGTTATAATGGCAGTCTATGGGACCAGTTTGGGGGCGTGGCTTGTGAGCTTCATTACCATATTGAGATGCTCATTGGTTGTCTGGGTCCAATGGGCCAACCCCTAAGCCTATATGACACTGCAATGCAAAGATATGCATCTAGCCCAATTATAATAGAAGTCTATGGGACCAGTTTGGGGGCGTGGCTTGTGAGCTTCATTATCATATAGTGATGCTGATTGGTTGCCTGAGTCAAATGAGCCCACCCCCATGTCTCTTTGACACTCCTATGTAATATTATAGATGTCTGACCTTTACAATGGAAGTCAATGGGATCTGCAATGGGACATCCCACCCCATGTTAAGTCAATGGGGCAGTTATTAAGGGTCTTTAAATGGTTTGGGAGGGCGTGGCTTGTGAGCTTCAAAATCATATTGAGATGCTGATTGGTTGCCTCAGTCAAGTTAGCCAACCCCCTAGTCTGTATGACACTGCTATGTAATGTGATTGACATGTGAGTCAAGAAATGAATGGGAGTCAATGGGCCATGTAAAGTCAATGGGGACCCCTTTGGGACGTCCTAGCACCCCAGGGGTACAACTTATACCCCTTTTCGGGGTATGTTCTCATACAGGCTGCAACCCCCTACAGATGTTGCGAGTCCCATATTTCTACGAATTTCACACTTGGCGCTATGACGCTTTAAAGGTCGTCCCATTTCGCGGCGCGTTTAGTGCTCTTCTAGAAAAATGAATGGGAGTCAATGGGGCCAATGTAAGTCAATGGGAGCACTTTGGGACGTCCTAGAGCCCCAGGGGTGTAACTTATACCCCCTTGCGAGGTATGTTCTCACTTAGGCTGCAACCCCCTACAGATGTGGTGAATCCCATATTTCTATGAAATTCACACTCGGCGCTGTGATTCGTCAAAGTTCGGCTCAATGTTAAGTCTATGGGATTTTGGGGGGGGTTTTTTGGCCCCTGCGGGGCCAAAAAACCCCCCACCCCTTATAAAAGTCATAGCACACCATTCCCGATAAGACCGCACGATTTGACCCCACTTTCAAGGGTCTGGGACGAAAGCTGCGGGACTAGTTACGCGCCGAAAAATAGGACGGAAGAAGGAAGAAGAATAATAAACCAGGCACAATAGTAAGAATGGACTTTGCCTATGGCAAACCCCATTAATAATACTTGTATTCTGTAAAGAGAATTTGTTGTTGTTGTTATTATTATTATAAGCTTTTTTTATTATTATTGTTCATTTATTCATTTTCTTTTAGGCTTAGTGCATTTATTAATCTGGGGTCACCACAGCGGATTGAACCACCAACTTATCAAACATATGTTTACGCAGCGGATGCCCTTCCAGCTTCAACCCATCTCTGGGAAATTATTATTATTATTATTAATAAGAATAATGATAACAACAACAGTAATAATAATAATCATGCAAACTCGTTTCTGTGTGGAGTTTGCATGTTCTCCCTGCGTTCGCTTGGGTTTCCTCTGGGTGCTCCGGTTTCCCCCACAGTCCAAAGACATGCGGTACAGGTGAATTGGGTAGGCAAAATTTTCCATAGTGTATGAGTGTGTGTGTTTGTGAATGATTGTGTGTGGGTGCTTCCCAGAGATGGGTTGCGGCTGGAAGGGCATCCGCTGCGTAAAAACGTGCTGGATAAGTTGGCGGTTCATTCTGCTGTGGGGACCCCTGATTAATAAAGGGACTTAATTTTGTTTTGTTTTTTTGCGTGTCTTTTGAAGACGTATTGTTATGTAAGTATTATTATAAAAATCCAATAAACATAATTACTATTTTTTGAAACGGTAAATTAATTTGCGATGTTAAAGGTTATATTTTATTTTAAAATTGCTAGAAAATAAGAAATGCACTGTAAAAACAAATATCCATTCATTAAACGTTTTCCATATTTTGTGATTTGTGTTTTTAGTTCATTTATGATGTTGTGAGATTGATTTTGGGACCTTGATCTCTGCTCTGATTGATTTTAATGTTTAGTAATAATACAGATGAAAACTTCAACAAAGTGGATTTCATTGGCATTTAAGTAGTTCAAAACAATATATATATACTGCATACTATATACAGTTGAAGTCAGAATTATTAGCCCCCCTGTATATTCGTCTAACACATTTCTAAACATAATAGTTTTAATTTCTAAGAACTGATTTCTTTTATCTTTGCCATGATGCCACTGCATAACATTTTACTAGATATCTTTCAAGATACTAGTTTTAACAGCTTAAAGTGAAATTTAAAGATGTAAGTTTAATCAGGTAATTATGGAAGTTAGGGTAATGAGGCAAGTCATTGTATAAGCATGGTTTGTTTTGTAGAAAAAAAAAAATTGCATAAGGGGGCTAATAATTTTGACCTTTAAATGGTTTAAAAAAATAAATACTGCTTTTATTATAGCCAAAATAAAACAAATAAAACTTTCTCCAGAAGAAAAAATAGTAAAGGAAATACTGTGAAAAATGTCTTGATCTTTTGGGAAATATTTAAAAAAGAAAAGAAACAAATCACAGGAAGACTGACAATTTTGACTTCAACTGAACATGTGTATCATAATCTGAAAATGTCAACAAAAGTCACTTTTGACTTTTGAATTAAAGAGAAAACATCCATGTAGCACAAAAGATGAGAAACTGTTAATCAACAAATATGTTTTATAATGTATACAATGTGCATTTTAAAGTGCATCTTTATGTTCATACATATGGTCAGCTCAGAAAGGCTTTACTGTACATTAGATAATCGCACTAATCTGTATAACAGCTTTGATTTAATAGATCATTCAGCCCTAATTGGAACAGAAAACATGAGAAAAAAATATATATTTTTAAACATGTTTGATGAAAATCATGGCAAAATTACCTCACAAACCTTGCAGATCACATTTTAAGGGCAGCTGAGAAGCTGATGTCATTAAATCTGCTGTAGTAAAATCATGAATGCTTACCAGAGAGAAGCATAGGGTCCTTCTCAACCGACTTCCGCACATGGTCTGATTCACCAGTCAAAGAGCTTTCATCAATTTTTAGGTCGTTTCCCTGAACCAAGACCCCGTCAGCAGGTAAGAGGTCACCTGATGATGCAAATGAAAGTAGGGCAAACATCCCAGGATCACTATGGCATCCTTAATATCCCCAAAAGCATTAGTACCAATAATACTATAATACACTGGGAACATGATCAACAAATGAGATTCCATTGTGATTTGTTGAAATGTGAACATTATTTTAAAAATACCTCCATGGTAATCCACACCTTAGTCATATTAGATGATTTCAGTTTAATCTGCTCATTTGCTTCCTCTCGACTTACAGTCAGGAAACTCACCGTATTTGACCTGCGCCATGTCCCCAACCACCATCTCAGCGACGGGGATCTGAATGACGTTTCCATTGCGCACCACAGCAAAGCGCTGCTCCAGCTCTATGCGGCTCTGCAGACCCCGAAACTGTTTCTCTTTGCTCCAGTCATTGAAAGCCGTCACCAGCACCACACAAATGACAGATAACAGGATGGCGGCGCCTTCAATCCATCCGGCCTCCGCCTCGCCTTCATCTTCGGCTCCTCCTGCACCTTTCCCACAGACTGTACAGGATGAAAAGATTGTGGTGTAATAGTGGACATATCATTGTTGCTGGTGTTAAGAAGATCCTATTCTTGGACCTCAAAGTTAAGGCTTTTTATGGCCCCTTTTAGAAATAGTTTTTTAGAAAGTGCTTATACTCAGTCCTTAGAATATGAAAAGTAAGGTCAAAATGTCAAATCCAAAGTATAAAATATACAGTGCTCTGCATATATAAGTACACCCCTTTACAAATCTATCGTTTAAATTCATATTTTAATAGGAAGCTGTACAATATTATATTTGTGCATAAACATTTAAACATTTTAAACACTAAAGTCAGTTCTGAAGCCAAATCTGGAGCTCATCTAACAAAACGTCTTACAATAATGATCCAAAAACTAGTACACCCAATGTATATGTCATAACTTATTAAATACAAATAAAAAAAAAATAGGAAAAATCAAGAGAAGAAAAAAATAGCTGTAGGTTGTAATTTGTTTTTGCAAAATTTTGCTTGAATTTAATTGTATTATCTTTCAATTTCTAAATATTTTTGGTATTTAAAAAAATTATTTAAAAATAAATCTGCTTAATAAATCTGTTTAGTTTAAAATGCACTAAAATACATTGCCTATATTCACTAAGTAAATGGATAAAATATTCATTATATTATTCATTTTCAAAATGGGATGTACTCAATTATGCTGAGCACTGTACCTTAAACATAACACACTATGAAAGGATACAAAAAAATGTTTTTGATAAAATCTTTAGATTTAATAAATTTAATAATATTTTTGATCAGCGTTACTTTAACTTTTTGGGCAACAAATCATCATTTGGTAATAAAATAATCACTAAAATGGTTTTTGAAGGATCAAAGTGCACTAAGAATTCAGCCTTGAAATCACAGAAATTGAATATATTTATAAACTGAAAAGGTTTGGATTGTTTTATATTTTACAATTTTACTGTAGTTAGCAAGAAAACTGAAAAATAAAGAAGTCGTCTTTAAATCAGAAGATTGTCATCTATCTGCAAATATATAACTAGGTGTTTCATTCAGTATGAATATTAATATATAAAGAAAAAACGACCCATTCAGAGATCTGATTACCCTGTTGGGGTTAATGTATTTAACAATCGTTTAGTATCTTGCTTCCTAATGCAAAGTGATGTTTTCTGTAAGTTACGCAGCACTCAATCCACCATCACCTAAAACTTTCAGAACTCATTGACTCAAAGCTCCTGTTTATTTTTCCCCAGCGTTTTTAAACTCCTCCCTCCTGTTTTCTCTTTTTCTGCATTGCTGCTTGACATCCTCTTTTCTCACTCCATTTTCTCACCTTCATTCTCACCTTTTTCCTCCCACACTCCCTTGATTCAGTCCTCTCTCTCTCTCTCTCTCTCTCTCTCTCTCTCTCTCTCTCTTTCCTCCCACTCTCGATCCATCATTCCCTCAACAAACAGCGTCCCTTTAACTCCCTTCCTCTACACACCTCATCCCTCCAACACCCCTATCCTCTCACCCTCACTGTCCTCTCCGGGTGGCTGATAGAAGGACAGGGCTAGGGAGATGATGGCTGCCAACTCCAGGATGATGAGGGTCACGTCTTGTAATGCCTCCCACACCAACTGAAGGAAGGTCTTGGGCTTTTTCGGGGGAATAAAGTTTTGTCCAAATGTCTGTCTGCGCTTTTCCAGATCTGTTGGGTTATCTGACAAACCTAAAAGGAAAAGAAAAAGAGTCAAATCAGGTCATCACTATATATACAGTTGAATTCAGAATTATTAGCCCCCCTTTCAATTTTTTATTTTTTTTTCTAAAAGATAAAATAAATCAGTATTAGAAATGAACTATTACAACTATTATGTTTAGAAATGTGTTGAAAAAATCTTCTCTCCGTTAAACAGAAATTGGGAAAAAATTAAACAGGGGAGTGAATAATTCAGAGGGGCTAATAATCCCGACTCCAACTGTATATTCTTGTTTTGTTTTTGTTTTTTGTTTTTTTTTAAAGGTAGGTATCCTTTAGGTGGAATGTTGAGACAGAGATACATTAATTTCGGTGGATGGGTATGACTGGAGGGCCCTGATGGGTAAGGGCTAATGGAGAGAATTTGGCCAGGACACCGGGGTTACATCACTACCCTTTTACAATAAGTGCCATGGGATTTTAAATGACCACATAAAGTCAGACCCTCGGTTTAACATCTCATCCGAAAGATGGTGCATGCCCACTGACAGTATGGTGTCCCCTTCACTTTAACTGAGGTATTAGGACTCACAAAGACCACAGGTTGAGCACCACCCTGCTGGCCTCACTAACACCACTTTCAAGAGAAACCTAGTTTTTCCATTTGGTCGTCCATCCAGGTACTTACCAGGCTCAGCCCTGTTTAGCTTCAGTAAGTAACGGGTCTTGGGCTGTAGGGTGATATGGCTGTGGCCCAATCTCAGTTCTATTATATTACAAGGTGCTCGAAATGCCCCACACATCATGTATTACATCATGTTGCAAATTTCTATTTTTGGGAGGAAGCTAAAACACACTGTTTTTGTGTGCATCTTTATATGTTACTGAGCTGCTTCTTCCCGCCCCCTTTGCAGAAGAGGGTGGACCCTTTACAGCTTGTGCCTTATTTGAAGTCTTTGGCCACTGAAGTTTAAGATATTACTATATTACTATTTTTTTTTGTTGTATTCATATCCTAAAAAATCATCAGAATCTTAGAAACCTTGCACACTGATCACACTAACCAATGTGTAATAATTAATCCTTAGTGAAAGAAATCACTAAGTAATTCTTAGTCATTTTAAGAAGGGATCCTTTTGTTCTCCTTTCTTCTTCTTCTTCTTCTTCTTCTTCAAAAAAAAAAAAGAAAATAAAAGACTGTGTTCATCCAATACACTGCACGAAGAAGAAGGATAGTTCACCTCCTTATAAAAAATTGAGTAGGATTATGCCGAAATTCTTTATTTCAAGAAATCAGTGGCATTTTAATGCTTTGTTTTTAATACTGAAACCACAAAACACAAATTTCTATGAATTAACTAATCCTGAACAGAGTCTGGCAGTAGTCAGAATATGGACACACACAAATACACACACTCGTTAAACAGCAGCCTGGGAAAGGTGCATACTAGGCATTTAAATGCATCTGCCACATTCTATCTTTATTTTGTGTACTTTGTCAAAAAGTGCTCTCAATCAAAAAAAAAAAAAACTTTTCTTTTGATTGTGAAACTATGACACCATATAATTGTGCATTTTTGATTGTTGGTGATTTTGAAATTGGTAAAATTTGTGTTTTTTACCGTTGATCATTAGTTGGCATTATTAACCTTTAAGATAGGTCTGTGCAAAAAAAGCTTAGTTTCTGGATTTTATATGGTGTATAACAGCAAATTAAAGTGTGTGTATGTCTGTGATAAATAAGTTTTCATCTGCCACATTCTGTCTTTATTTTGTGTACTTCGTTTGTCATGAACTGCTTTGTGACAGATTTCAGGATTTTTTTTTATTTACTTGTACTGGCTCTGAATTGCCAAAACATCTATAAAAAACACTGATGTGAAATGTTTTATGACTGACAAAAAGTTCGGAGATAGTGTGTGTGTTTTTTGCGTCTGACTGGACTGAACATTAAGTTTCAGAATTGGAATGAACGTTATTTTTACTTCATCAAACAGAAAATTTGTATATTTTTGATTGTGCACTCATGGTCATGTTGCATTGTTCTTTCTCGTCTTGGAAAGGTTAGAACAGATTAAAAGATTAAAACTCTAAGTACATAAGTTAGTCCTTTTTACCTGACATATCCATAGTTGGACATGTCTGTGAATGTAAACAGTTAGGGAGAAAATCCACCACAATCTCACGGCAATTCATACATTTTTGATTTAGTGGCTAATTCGTATGAATTCGTACAAGCTGGGTATTGAACAATGGTTATTTTCATATTTTTCGTATGGTTCATATCTGACAAGTAATAGCTCAAATGAAAGCTCTTGCCGGTGCTCATATGGTTCTAGCATTCTATTCACTAAATTATATTCACATATTAAACAGTTATCGCATGAACTGTGGTGTCTCCATGGCGCAGAAGTAAAAAACAACACTTTTATGATCAATAGGCAGCTCCAGATAGCACAGACAGCTGTCATCTCTAACTTTTTGCTGTGCGCTTCAGGGCCATTTCTCCTCTGTTTTTGAGGTGATGTGCATAAGTAATCCTTTTATATGTCTGATGTGGTCCAAACACAGTGAATTATGTTTGATCAAACAAAAGAATAGTGAAATATGAAAACAAAGATCGATCTCTGTGGCTTTTACAGCACCTCTCATCAGTTGGAATAACTTTTGCAAAGATTATGGTAGAGACATTTTTCTTTTTTTCCTATGATTACATACATGTGCAGGAACCACCAAAATTAATTACAGCAACCTAGACCACACAGAACCTGCTGTAAAAGATACACTTTCAAATTTGAGTTTATTAAAAAAAAAATCTTTTTTTTAGGTGCATTGTAACACAGACAACATATACAGTTATTTTAACGACTTTCAATAGTGTTTTATGAAAATTCAAAGGATTTTCCTTAAAATTATACCACTTTTTGCATTTACACCTCTGCATATGGATTTGGGAAGCTTTTAAATTTGGGTCGGCAAAATCCAGGCGGAAATCCCAAAATAGCAGCAGAGTTTAACTGATTATATCACCCCAATATGAAAACAACTGTGGACACACTATACCTACACACAGTTCTGTACAAACAGCTTCCAAAAGATGATTTTCATTATAGGTGCCCTTTAAAACATCCAATCAACTTCACTCACTGCAGTACTCATTGTTCTTGGAAGACTATTCAGAATAAGTTACATTTGCTGTCTAGCTTGTGATGAAATTTGACATTTAATGGCTCTGTAAGTTTAAATTCAATAACCTAAAATGCTGTAAATGACCATATTTTTACTTAAATCTTGTTGTGAGATCTATAAGAACAAATTGTATTATCATTTAACTCAATCAATTCTCAAAATGAAAATCTGAAGTGGTCCCTAAATCTTTTCATACCTGTAGCTGTATTTATAGAGACAGACAAACAGACAGACAGATAGACAGACAGAGGGAGAGAGAGAGAGAGAGAGAGAGAGAGAGCTTTTAGAAGAGCCTGTGTTTGCCAGTCTTTCATCACTGCAGTCTGGACCAAACCGTTCTTTCAAAAGTGCATGTGTAAGAGTTCATAGTCTCCTACTGCGAACACCTCCAGTAACATTTCACACAAGCGCTAGCCTCAAATACACCACGGAGTTAAGTGACAACTTTAATAGCATATGCACGGCTTCCCTTTCCTATTATCACCACACATTAAAATAACACATTTAACCAAAGATTCACAAGAGGGCCATGAAGACAAGATAAACAACACAACACAAACTGATATCAAAGCACAACCTACAAGAATGTATCAATCTTTAAAAGTAGCCTGTTCCAAAATAAGAAGTCACGCCAGTCTGACCGAGCCCCATATATTGAATTTCTGGTGTGAATAATTAATCGCGTGTTTCTGCTCATTTCAGAGGGATCCCATATAGAACGGGGGCCTGAAAGAAGAAGGGATGGATGAAGTGAAATGAAGATCAAGAAATGACAACATATCGTGTTTTATGCTCCCCCTTTCCCCGACCATTTACGTCTTTCTGAATCTTTCTCTTACTCTCTCGTTCATAGATTTGTGCAGTTTCCATGGCGATGAAGACATCAAGCACAAATCGTGCCGTTCTTCAACTTCCTGTCTTCAGGCACCTTTTCGCCCAGCTACAGATGATGTCATTGATTCGGTGCGGGCCACGCGAGCTTTATAATAGATTTTTGATTGGTCTGCTGTGCAAGTCTTTTTGGAGCCTGAGAGAAAACGCATGATGCTTTCAGTCAGCGCTGAAGTCAGTAGAGTCACTCGGAGAGAAACCCAGCATTACAGCTCAGCTGAATGAGGCACTATTGACGTCAGTCTGCGAGCGTGCATGTGTGTATGCGCTGAACATGCTTCAAGGACTGACGAGGACAGGACAATCCAACCGGAAAACACTTTAAGTGGACAAAGGAGGAATGTATGGGCTGTTATGTATACAGTGAGTCAGAGCATCAGTCCAGCTGTTAGAAAGAGGGTTATACACTGATCACAGTCGCTCCATACCAGCACCCAGCACTAAACCGTGCTATTACCATATAGAAATGCATGCTAATACAACACTCTAGATGACAAGTGGACGTGTGAATAATAACAAAGAGACAAAAAGAGAGTCAAGATGGACAGAAAATGAATCGAGATGAAAAATAGAGTTAGCTTATGCATACTTCCTGATACATCTGCAGCATTTATTCATTAGAATCACAAAACTGAGTGGATCGATTTGTTTGTGAATTAGACTGAACTCAATTTAAATAACTTTCAGTTCTTAATGACGAGTTCAAACTGAATGATTTTCAAAGTAGTCGTATTTCGAATGTTTTCACACTGCATGACTATCTGGGTTAGCGTTCTGCCGGTGTTGTGTTTACACTGTGAGATGGATCGGCGACAGGAGAGTTCACACTGCATGGCTTTAACATAGAATCAAAGAAGAATCAAAGACGACTTTGTCCAAACTACGTCTCACAACCAAACAAATGTGAGAATTGACATGGAAACAACGCAAGGTCACGCAGTATATCTTTC